GCTTCTCCCCCCCCCCCCCCCCCCCTGATGTTAAATTCTTAAATCCTCAGAATTAGCATCTTATGGCCGCTAAGCAATCTCTTAAAGAAGTTGTACTGTAGGAATCTGTGGCGTTGAGATTAATGCAGGGTTATCTCATGATACCTGTGCCAATTACTTTTGTGCTAGCAAGTTCAGCTAGTAACTAGTCCCGTGCCCGTGGCCTGCTGTGGCTCGGACAAAATATTTTTGTCAACATAAATAAGAAAATACAAGCAATGGTAATGTTTTTCACGCCATCAGCCTATGAGTAACGAAATTGTTTGATAGATTCAGATATGCGACAAAAGTTCGATACAACAATAAAACTACACAACTAATCTTTTCATTCTTCTACTCAACTCTTCTAAATTTATGTAGTAAGCTTCTGTTTGGGACTATTACATTCTGTTTTGGGGATTAATTAATGTGTTTTCTATCTGTCATGCTGGAGAGTGATCAGTTTGTTCCATGTAAACCAGATCATTATTTGATTGTAAGAAAACCAATCAAGTCCTTAATGATTTCTCCTTATACTAAAGTCCTTTCTGATTCTCCAACCTTGTTTGTATTAACTATGATAGCCCTTCTTTAGCATAATGACTTTTCGAATCACTGTTTCAGGAATCGGTGAAGTAGTGCATCAATGGAAGCTTATCAAGGAAAGGTTTAGATGTGGCTGAATTGTCCGATAAAGAATTCTGCTGCTGATTTATTTTCCATATCTATCAGAAATGTTAAAGAGTATGGAATCTTTTCTACAGCTGATTATGCTCAATGATGCTGGTTGAGGCCTTGATGTGGTTTTATCTTACTTAATCAGCAGAGGATGCTACCAGAATAAAATTTGGTTATTACAAAGGTTTTGTAGATATCCTTATCTGGTTAAACTAGTTTTCCTGTAATGCTGAAACCAGTGAAACTCAGGTAACTTTGTTCTGATGGAGGCAAAAGCAATAGATTACTTTTCTGATACTTTGTCTAATGATGGTGTTTCGGCGTATTTCGCAATTATGCACTAACTCTGTTGCCAAAAATGATAAAAGATTTGTGTTTAGATAGAAAAGTTTATCTTGCTTGAGGATTGCAAACAGGTATGAGGAGGGTCAGGAATGTTTTCCGCAGAACTCATTTTTGTAGGACTATTTCTCTGAAGAAATAAAGGTTCTGTTGTTAGAAATGATGGAGATGAAGGAGATGAAATTGAAATCTTGAAGATGTAGTTCTCTTTATAAACTGGAAATGTTTTTTTTACCATAAGTGAGAACATATACGTGAGCACAAACTTGCATGCATACATAAAGCTTCCATAACAGGCTCAATCACAAAAAATTCCTGACGTTAAATGGCATTTTCTTCAGAATTTGCTTGAGGTAAGTACATAAATGAACATGGAATGTATGTAAACAACCTTTTATTCAGTAATAATGAATTAAAATACACACATAAGTCTATGGAACTCCAATTCCTAGAAAGTAGAAAATAATAAAGCACACAAAAGGAAGAAAAGAAAAACACGACTAAGCTCACATATGCGAGGGCAGCTATAACTGCATACAACTATAAGCCTCCATGACTTCCCAGGTCAAGAGAAGACAAACAGATTTCCTTCAAAAAGAAACATGAAATGCTTCTGCACGTCTAGCATCACAAGAAAGGAACTGCAAAAGGGTAAACTATTAGAAGAGAAGGTGGATTGAGAAAATCAAGGGCTAGTAGTTGCAGGGGGAGGGGAAAGGAATGGAATAGAGGGGATAGTTGGAATTGTGGGGATTGAGGGCATGCTTGGAAGTGGAGGGAAAGTGACCTTTGGGACTGTAGGAATGGTCGGGATTGTAGGGATGCTAGGAAGTGGAGGTAGTGTTGGCTTTGGTAGTGATGGCTGAGTTGTTGGTAAGGGGGGCAATGTGGGCTGTGGCAGGTTTGGTATGGAAGGCAATGGTGGCAGTGGTGGTAACTGGAGGAGATGACGGGCAGCCAGGCTGACGGTCATGCTTGAAAATGCCAGAGCAATGAAGAAAGCTAAGATAAAGCTTTTGGGAGAGGCCATCACTGATACTCAAGATACAATCAATACTTGTGATCACCAGAAATGTACGAGTAGAACAAATAAGTTGTTCTGTTAGGCTTGTATGGGAAAATTAAGGCTGGTTATAAGTATTTATAGTAGGACATGGGATCAGTATGGTGATTTCGGCACTACTAGTTGGTTGGAAAAATCTGAAAGACAATTTTGAGATTGCTTGTTAGTTCACCCACTTCTATATCATATTAGTTGACTATTGCTTCTTTGGGATCATCTGTCTGGTTATCTAATTAGAGTTCTTGGACCAAACAACAAATGTTGCAAGTGTCATTCTTTGGTTGATCCTTCGTCAAGTTCTAGGCTCATAAACTAGTAGAATTCTCTTCTCTAAATTCACAACTATACAAGTCAAGTTGTTAGTTTTCAACAAGCAACCATGACTTGGAACCCTTGAGTTTTCTTGTTGGCAGTTCATCTTTTCATCTGCAATTCTTCGAAAAGATGTCATAGGCTCCTTACAGGTGTTGATGATTGGAATATGATTTGGCAAGATGGGATATTTGATGAGTTGATAATTCATAATTAATTCCTCCACACTACAAAAGGAAAGTCTAGTAATGTTTTGTTACAGCATAAGTGATGACAAAACAATCTACATCTTAAAAAACATAAAATTACCTTACTCTTGTACCTGTTTTTGCTGCAAACATTATTTAATGCTGGTCAAGTGCAGGGCACTAGCCAAGTTTGCAATATAAAAGATATCATCTCTGTAACTACAACTTAAAGGTGCCACTAAGAAGATGATCAACACAACATCTTCTGGATGTTGATAAGAGGTTGTTTGTGTTTCAGGCAATGATGATTAACATGGTAACAGATCATACAGCACTTCGTCAAGCGTCATTAAGAGGTTGTTCATAGATCAATTGTAATTTACTTTAACCTTAATCAAATGTAGTTTTAAGGTACTTACTATAAACTGCAAGCCGCAATGTTTCACATGATGGAGATTTTCTTTAAAAGGCATGACCGCAAAAAAAAAAAAAAAAAAAAAAACACTACTGCAGACTTCAAATTTAAATTTTGAATCAACTTACCAAATAAACAACAATCAATTAATGATACAAAATCATTCTCTTTCGCGGGAACTTCTCAGTATTTACCGTTATTCGTTGGAACTTAAAGAATCCATACAATACCAGTTGATCAGCAAGTAAATTGCAGTGGAGGAACATAGTTTAGTAGCAATGGTTTGTAATGCATAGAGATAGATGAATGCTTTATGCATCAAGAATCTCTAGTCACAGGACATTTTTTCTCCAAAAACAAAATGAAAAGAGAAAACAAGTAATCAATAACTTTACATGAAACCTTTGAAAATCCTGAATTGAATCATTTCCTTGCATATAAAATACTAATATGCTCGACATGATGTATGTATGGTGTGGAGATCACCACAGTCCTTCACAAATAAAAATGGTATTTATTATCATTTCATTTGAATATCTTGATCCACAATACTCAATTCCAACCTGAAAGTATTGACAGATTCAAAACATAAATGAACTGTGTTATGGTTAAGACATTCTATTTCAAAGGAATTATTAACGCACTAGAAGAAACTAGTCCCATATCCAAGACTGTATCCAAAAGGAGGCATTGCTGAGTTTGCATTGAATGGACTAGCAGTCATGTTTGTGTTGAAAGGAGTCCCGCTCATGTTGGTGTTGAAAGGAGGCACAGCCATGTTTGAGATGAATCCAGTATTCCTGGTATCAAAAAGATGATTCCCACTAGTGCTGGGGTTTGCTGCGATAAAAGGCTGAGGAGCTGAATTTTGAATCAGAATCTGTTTGGCGTGCCTGGTCACATCCTGCTTGAGATCCTGTAAGGACGCCTTCAATTGTTCAAGCTGTGCCAAGTCAAGTTCCTGAATAGGGTTCTCCCACCAGTTCCGACTCTGACTAGCTTTCCGCATTCTGTCTAGCTCTTCACCTCTTTTCTTCTCCACTTCCAATTGGTTGGCCACCTAGTGAATCATTTATTAGCACGAAAATATTTTGGTTTTCTGATGAAAGCAAATTGATGCACCTGAGAAATTTCTTTAGCAAATGGTTCTCACAATATCTTCTGCAGATAATTCTTACAAAAGGACAAAAGGAAAAACTAAATATACTTTGAAAATTCTTGCCATTTAGTACCTGAGTAAGCTGCATGTTGAGTTCGTGGACCCTAGCATTGCGATGAGCCTCAATAAGATGAAAAGCACCTGAAGTTTGGGGAATATTTCCTGAGACATAACGTTCCATGACCTTTTCAACAGAAGGGTGGCCAAAAGAGAAAACCTTCTTGCCAGGCGAGAACACAATGATGCTGACTTCAGCGCCACAAAGAGTACAGAGTTCACTAGCCTTCTTGAAAAGGCCAGACCTACGCTTGGAGAAGGTTACCATTAAATTGCTCTCATTTGGGATTTTAACCATCTCCAACTTTTGGCGACCCTTACTCTTTCTAACCATGGTGAATCAACAAAAGAATAGAAACCACCTCACTAAGAAAGAAGAGACCAACAACTCTCTTGAGAACAGTGTGGATGGAGGGGAAATAGTTCACAATTTATACAGGTTTCGGGACTTGACGTTGAGAGTAAAAGTGGTCAAGATACACTGCATTCTTGGTGGCAATCATTTAGTGCTTTTCTTGAACTTAATAGCTTTCTAATTTTGGAGGGTTCAGAATCAGGGAGGACTGACATATATGGTATGCATATTCAGCGTCATCATCTCCAGGGCCAATCTAGATGATTATACCATTCTCCAATTCACCCCCTGTGAGATTTCCACAGACTGCCTCTTTCATCATCCATTGATGACTAGGTGAAATGGCTAGCCACTAGCCAGCAACCGAAAGATATCGGATGACTAAATCCCTTAGACTTGCTGATATACGATCACTACAAGTTGTGAAATGTACAATAATGGTCCCATATGAGATACGGGATGTCAGGAAGAATAATTTCTATACATGTTACACCCTTTATGATTCTGCATGCTAAACTTGCTGCTATTGACTTTGTTTCATCTTACATGAGTATAGCAGAACCCGGAAGTCTGATATAACTTCAAACCAACATGTGACATTGCTATATATCATGAAACATCATTCTGTTCAAGCTTGCTGTTTTTATACATTTTCTTTTGTTGTTTCATATAGAATTGGAAAACTTATTAGATATGCCAGGATGAAAATAAAGAGCCTGCTGGGCAATTTTCAATGGATTGCAATGGGATTTTTCTTTAAAGACTATAATGAAATCATTTTAGATGTACTGCTTGCATCATACATGTTATTGATGGTCTAGAATAATCTTACTTTCCTATTCAACAAACCATCCTTATCCATCTGTTGTGTCATAAGGTTTTAGATTTTATGGATTGGGAATCCACAAAAAGAAATCTGTGATATGTTTGACTGATGTTTGCTGTACTGAAGGTAAGGTATGTTCTTTACCATAACTATGGAAATTCAGATTCATTGCATCACATGATTAAGCACACACATATGGCTTTTGGAGGCAAACTAAAATTGAAGAAACATAATACAATGATCATATATCTCGAAGCGCAATCATAAATACGAAACTCCATCAAAATACAGTATAAAGAAACACAAACGGAACTGAAACAAACCCAGTGACACCCTAAAGACACGACGAAGGAAGAATTCTGGCATCCGATAGCATGAAACTGCAAGAGTGTATATATGCTCCTATACCATACCAAAGCCACACTTATGGTACATACAGGTTCTCACTGCTATGAACAGAATGAAGAAACTCAAGGCTTTGTGGTAGCAGGTGGTGGTGAGAGGAATGGAATAGAAGGAATTGCAGTTGGGATTGGAATTGTGGGGATTGAGGGCATGCTTGAAAGTGGAGGCAAGGTGACCTTGGGAACAGCAGGCAATGTTGGCATGCTAGGAAGCGGAGGCAGGGTGGCTGTGGGGATTTTTGGCAGACTAGGAAGTGGAGGCATAGTGGGCTTAGGCATTGAAGGTTGAGAAGTTGGCAAACCCGGCAATGTTGGCTGTGGTAGTGCAGGAATAGAAGGCAATGGTGGCAATGTTGGTTTAGGCAAATTAGGCAATTGCAGAAGATGACGAGCTGCTTGGCCACCCGACAACGACAAAAGAATGAAGAGGGCTACGATAAAACAGTTGATGCTTGCCATCTTGCCAAAATCTCAAGGCCTGCAAGATTATGAACTAGAAACCAATTGCAAACAAAGAATTGTATGAGATTCTGTGAGGCATACCAGGCCTATTCTTGAGGTTTTTATACACGGAGATGAAAAGGGGAGATCCCTCTTGAACGGTTTGTGTAGATGAGAAAACAGGACACTGATTTTGGTTTAGTTTCTGTTAGTTCACCTTCCTATCTACTTACATTGTAAAAGAGTTACATATGTCGATTGCTGCTGACTGTCGAAATGGGAATTCTTCTTATCAATCCTCCATCTTTTGCTAATTGGTTGTTGACCGGTAATCAAGTTTAATATTAGTATAATTTTATTGTTAAGCGAATGTTGGCAGGTATTTAGAGATATATGAACATTTATTTTTGCATTACAATATGATTTCTAAAAAGTTTTTCAAACTGTATATCGTTTTTAAAAAAAAAACATCAAATTAATGAATTTTTCTTTCTATTTTTAAATAATTTTGATATAAAAATAAAATATAAAAAATATTATTTTGATATATTTTCAGTTAAAAATCATTACACCATTATAAATAAGTTGTCCTAGAAAGTGTGGAAAAAAAAAAAACAGAGAGCATTTTAGCCAAAGGAGTCTTGGTGCAAAATCATCAATTAATGATAAATAATACATAAAGAAAAACGAGAAAAAAAAGTAGAAATGATAAAAAAAGAGGAATTTTTCTATTTTTAGGAAATAATTAAAGTATTATAATAACCCATTAACAACTCAAATATTTCATTAAACTACCAAAAACAAATTACTAAAAAGGAGAAAATTACATTAAAAAGAGTGTCTTAGAGTATGGAAAGGAGAAGTAAGAGGATGATTTTCACATGAAATGCCATCAACAACCACCTTATGTTTTGTGTGTATGAAGAATTTCAGATGCTCATAGATTATAGATATTGTAGAAAATACTATACTATCATATTTTTACATTAATAAAAAATATTTTAACATTTAAAAAATATAGTCATTACCATTATATTTTGTAGCTTCAAGAAATTTTTTATTACAAGCAAAAAAATTTATATATTCATTTAATAAAAATACAGGGGATTAAAAGCATCATAAAATATTAAAAATAGTTATTAATGATAACAAAAAAATCAAGTTGAGAAGTTATGAAATAGATGCAAATTATAATTTTTGATCTCATGTTGTGATGATCCTTTTAATTTTTTTAATTTAATTACATGGAGATTATTTTTTTATAAGAAGAGTAATAAGTAAAATTCCATTAAAATTATATATATATATATATATATATGTATGTATGTATGTATGTATGTATGTATGTATGTATATTATGTATTCAATAAAAAAAAATAGAACAAATAAAAAAAATTGGATGGTTTAAAATAGGACAAGAAAGACATCTCTTTAATCGAAACTCTTTTTATCTCAACAACAACACACTCCCTTTCCTTTTTTGCCTACCTTTCTTTGCAAGATTTCTTCTCTCTTTTTTTTTTTTTAATATAAAACCAACTAATTTTGACATGGATGCATTAAAAACATAAGAACAATAAACTTTTAGTGCGATGCTATGGCTAACTTTTTGACAATTTCACCAAACCCAGCCTAGCCTAATGAGTTAACATGGAGACTCACGTCCCTGATCCGGTCCATTGTCTGCTTTGATTTCAAATTAAATTAAGCGAGAACTGACCTGACGTAATCCGGTTAAAACCCTGTTTGATTTCAAAAAATAAAAATTAAGACAGCGTTGTTCTATTTTTTTTTTTCTATATACTAAGATAAAACTAAGATAAGGATGTTTTGTAAACTTAAATTAACCTATTAAATTTATATATTAAATAATAGTTCAAGATTAATTTAATAACTTGTTTTTAGTATTTTCTTATCTAATCATATGATAATAAAACTTGACATGCATAAAAAAGCCACAACATAATTTAATTTTTTTTTTAAGAAGACCATGATGAAGAGCTGCAGAAAAGTGCCCGCTAATGTTATAAATGATAACGCTGTAACCTTTCTTGAAAAAAAAATAAATTAAATGGTATTTAATTAAACAACACTCAATAAAATTGAGTGAAGAAATAAAATATTTTAAAAAAAGAAAAAACATCATGAAGGGTTGTATAAAAAGAGTATTTTCTAATATAATAAAAAAATTTATGATATCATAAAAAATTTAAAAACTTAGTGGTATTTAATAAAATAAATTTCTAAAATATTTTTTTAACAAATCTATTTGATTAATTAAAAATTAAAATATATATAAAAAAACTTAAATAAAAAACATAACAAAATAGGTTAGGCACGTGGACCTGCACGCCTAGCCCATAAAAAAGAGTTTCAAATCGTGCGCCAAGATTTTTATTTAAAAAAAACAATATAGACTACTTGTTATATATTAACCTATTGGGGAATTATCAAAAAATCAAGGTAGGGGAATTATATATTTAAAAATTTATTTTCAACTCATTGCCTAAATGATCTAAAAACACACTAAAAATATATATAAACCTATTTATAGTTTTAAATTATCCATAAATTAATTTTAAAAAAATTAACTTGAATTAAAAAATATTTACCAACTAAAATCCTTTTTCTCAGGCAAGATGGAGTCCAACACCTTACTAAAACCCTTTAATACCGAAAGCAACTTTTTTTTTTTTTGTGGGTGTTAAACAATAATTTTCTCGAATTCAACTTTTTATTTTTTTTCTGGTAAACATAACATGAATCCTCCTATTTTAAAGTATCTTTCTTCCCCCCCATTTTATTTTTGTTAAAGAAAAAAGATATGAATGTTTTGTTTTTGTTATAACATTGATTCAAAATTATAACTAATAATATCTACTTTTAATAGTTAATAAACTTTATTGATTTAGTTGTTTAAGATTTTATAGTGAAACTTAAGATGAATATATTTTTAAGAAATGTATTTAAATATGTGTAGCCATATAGAAGAGACTAAGTAAAATGAAAACGGTATCTTTTTATTTTTTAAAAAGGAAAATGGTATTTTTTATTTTGAAGAATTTCCCATAATGAAAATTACATAGTTACCATCCTATAGCATATAAAATAAAAAAGATACTATTTTCATTTTACTTAATCTCTCTTATATCTCTCCACATATTTAAAAACATTCTTTAAAAATACATTCATCTTAAGTTTCACTGCACATATCAACTTAAGTGAACAAAAAACGTGTTTAAAAGATTTGAGGAATTTTTGCTGTATTAAAATTTTTTTAATGGGTTATATTATCTTGGAAGAAAGGTAGTATATTTAAAATTATCTTTGTATAAAAGGAGAGTTTTCTCTAGAAAGATAGTGCTATTGTGTGCTACAATCTCATAATTCTCCTACACCGTTATTTTTTCTCCTATTTATTTTTAGTTGTAATTATTTTTAGTATTTGCTTTTAGTTGCTAAGTTTAAAATAGTAAAAGAAAGAATATCTTGGTTGCATTTGTTTTCATAATTATTTCCATTTAATTTCCTAACAACCTTGGAGATAAAACACGGATTATTTTCCTTATATTTTCTAAAAATATTGATTTGTTTGCTTAATTGTGACTATGGATATCATAAATTTATTATATACCAAACATAAAAAAATTTATAGAAAAAAATCTCTTTATTGGCAATAACAAATAAACTTTTGGCTTACCAAGTGGGTTTTTATTTTATTTTATATGATAATAAAATAAAAGTGCTGAAAAATTAACTAATGCTGTTGTTTTTACAAGTGATGCATTTTTCTATGGTAGTATAGATAACTTTACTAATAAAGATATTATGTGTCATGATAACAATTTAATACTTTATATCATAATATTTATCATATCTTTTATAACACTAAAATTATTTTTGAAGTATAAAAAACACTCGAACATAAATATGGAATTAAAGAAAAAAATCTTATTGAAAAGTGGCTTGATTTTCAAATTGTTCTCATCTAATCCATGAGTTTAAAAATATTATTTATGACATGGAAATTAAAGGCATTGAACTTATTTAAATTATTTTTATTTTATCATATTAAAAAATAATCACATTCTTGGTTTGTTTTGTTAGAGGTTTAAAACAAAAAAAAAAACTTTTTTTAATGAATAGTTTGTTGCTTTAAGGATGGGTGAAAAACATTATACCTCAAAATAATAAAAATATAATTTTCAAGTAAGATATAAGTTGTTTGGGGTTCTTTCATATCTAGGCAATTTAAAAAAATAAAATAAAAAATTAATAATAACAACAATAATATTAACAAGCCTAAAAGTAATAATACGAGTAAGAAAAAAGGATGTGCAATGTTGGGTTTATAACTAATATAATCATGTTGTTAATAATTTTAATAAAGCAATACCTTAAAAAGACTTTGCAACCACAAGCCAATGAAGTAATTGCGAGGGCTAGCTCTTCTTTCTCAACTTACAGGTATTTTATTTCTGATCTTGAGTTAAATATAATTTTTAACTCAAATTATTAGTGATTGGAACATGGGATTAATGTTTTATGCTTGTATTGATAAAAAAAAAAGTATTTTTATTTTATTATTAGGCATCAAGCACTAAGGATGAGAAATGAGAGTGTAACTCAAGACTTAAGAGAAGATCAAGTTTAGTTAGAATTGTTGTAAAAAATGTTTTTGCTTTGAATGAAGTGTTTTATGTTCTTAATTTTAGAAAAAAATTAGTTAATGCATCTTTGTTGGATCAAAATGGTTTTACTCTTGTTCTAGGATCTAATAAAATAGTTATTAGTAGATTTGAATCTTGAAATGAAAAATATTATTTGTTGAATGATTTTTATAAATTAAGTATAATGCATTCTTTTAAAATTGCTTTGCATTTTTCATCCTCACCTATTCTTCATCTATTGTAAATGTTGAATGTTTTGATTCATGGCATGGTAAGTTTGTGCATGTTAACTTTAACATTATTAAAAAAATAATGCATTTAAATTTAATTTCTAAGTTGCATACTAAT